CTTTGAGAGATGCTACTGTCTGAGCTTTTCAACACAGTCACATGGGAGCAACTAGGGCTTGAGAACAGAGCTTTATTAAGTCACAAATAAAGCTTAAGTGGCCTATAGCAGGTAAGAGCTGGTTGGAGAGAAGTCTGATTGTGTCATTAATTTATACTGTTAAATAGCTGGGCAAGTCCTGGCTTTTTCTGGTCAAGGTCTAGGTTTTACTAAGAGTATCTGTGAAGATGTAGAGCTGGGACTCGTTCATAGGCTCTGACAGTAGAGAGTGAGTGGGCTACGGAGTGTTTCATGAGAACGTGGCCTCTGGAGGGTCCTCACACCAAGCAATGTTTAAATTTAGTTTCAGCATTTGCAACACAAATAGAGAGAAATTCACAGTTGACACAAAGATGAGTTGTCTTCATCCATCTTCCTTTCAAGTTGCTTACTCTGGAAAGGATGCCAAATCTGCGACGTTCCCATAATCGCCCTACACAGACAACATACATCCTTTATACATCAAACGGAAAAAGTAGTGACTCAGCGTGGGGGACCCTTGGGGATTGATTTGCTGAAACTGCCCTTCACTAATTACACATGCTTGTTTGTTTGTCCTTTATTTTAGACGTAGAATACAAAGAACTTATTCCAGAAATCAGGGTCAGCTCTAAACTTTGGTTTTTCTCAGTAGACTTCGCTATTTGAGGGTCTGTGCTATTAAATAAGCCTGTAATCTTTTTAGTTGTTTGCAAATAATACTGATAAATTATCTGTGAAGGTGAACTGATCTTTGAAAAGTGACCTTTTCAATCCTAGAGAGAATCATTTCAGCTCACTCACCCTGGAAAGATTTAACTGGGTAATTCTCAGGGGGGCTCAGTCAAGTCTTCTCCTGAGCCAAGACTTCTTTTTCAAGCAAGGCTCACTTCAGCCATTTACCTTGAAAAGGAATCCAGCTTTACTCCCAGGTCCATTTATCTCCATGTAAACCATCCCTGTGCTTTAAATATTATGTTAAAGTTTGTCGCTGTGGTTGTAAAATGTGAAATATCAGAGCTAAGTATTACTGGGGCATGAGCCTCCCGGAGGCGGCCGGGGCTGTTTAAGGCCTGAGGCTCCCCGGCCTGTGGTTGTGGGAAGACACTCTATCCATCCCTGCAGGTTATTTGCGGCTCTCCAGGGACCTCACTCAGCACCGTGCTCCGGCACCGGCTCAGGAGGTGGAGTTGGGGTTTCCTAGCCCTTGCTGGAATGTCTGCTTCTAGCCGGCAGCGTCCTGTGCACGAGCTGTCCGGCAGGGAGGTCAAGCTCGCGGAGAAAGCCCTGAGGGAGGAAACGGGGAACGTGCCCCTGTTTTCTCATCCTTGACACGCTGAGCCGGAGTCAGCTGTGTAACAGCACGACCAGTGGATGACACTTAAGCCAGGGCTCCAAAGCCTGACACCACAGTAAATCCGACGTAAGCAGGTGATTTGGAGGGAAGGTTTTGAAGTTAATTGAATTTTATGCTTAACTGTTATTCAGGAAACCATTTTT